AAAATCAACCCACAAATTGCGAGTAGAATGTTTAAGATTTTGTTTTCTCTTGTGGTGATTTGTGACTAAATTGGGAGACAAGTTCCAAACCGTCCTCATCAAAAGACATGACCGAGGTAGAGATTTTTATTCCATACTCGACTAAAACCTTCTGATATTAAACTCCAAAATGACATTTCACAGTTTCTACCAATTCATATAAATATAACAATTAAGAGCTGTCATTACTAAAGCAAGTCTTTGCTTTTCTTTTAATTATATATATACTTATATTTGATTAGTGTCTTCAAAGAGTATGAATAGAACCTTATTGCAAAACTTTCACATGAGAATTCTGTAATTTGGCATCCTACCAACTTCACTTTAATTTTATAGTTCTTAATTTAAAAATGGGTCATTATTTATCATACTTTTAAAGATCATTAAATAATGGTGTACAGTTGCCATGTCTCACAACCATATATTCTATTAGGTCGAAACTTTATATCGTTGTCATGAGAGATATAAACTTCGTTTCGGATTAACAAGTGCATTATCATTCGTAATTATGGCTAAATTGCAGATAATATTCCAAACATTTATTTCGTTTATATATATATATATATATATATTTTGGGTGCAATAAGATAGAGACTACCCGAGCTTAAACTAGAACTGACCGAGGATGGGACACACTCATCCTATCATGTTGCAACCATAAGCTCGCCTTAGGCGGAGGACGCTCCAACCGATGAAGCCCACCCGGGCCCTTGGCCGCCAACGATGCTAAATAATCTGCCACACAATTCGCTTCCTGGTAACCATAGTTTATCACCACCACCTACTGACAACGCAAAAGATCATTTATACCCATTAATAACCCACGATGAGGCCCGCTACAAGTGTCGTTCTTGACCATATTAATGATACTCTTGTTATCAACTTCCACTTGCACTTTCTCTGACACCAATATTCCAGGCTAACAATAGGCCTTCAAACAATGCCCATAGTTCCGCTCCAATAATAGAACAGAAGCCGATATTCATAAAAAATCCATGCACCCAGTTACCATAGTGATCCCCGATTACACCGCCGGCATTCGCCATCCCTGTCGAAGGATCAAAGCTCTCATCCGTATTGAGCTTTAACTCCTTCTCCGAAGGACATGTCCAGGAAATCCAACACATCTCTCGTCGCGCGCCCCCACACTTCGACTACCCACCAAAGCGCACCTCCCGACCATGTTCACGAAAGAGACCACCTCACCAAGACGTTGGGTCACGGGCACATCGGATCCCTGAAAAATATATAGATTTCTCCACCTCCACATACGCCACGCCGTAATTCCGAAGACCGACATTCAGTCGCCACTCACCCGACTCAACTCGCCGCTGAGGTTGCTGAACAGCCAGCCATGAAGATCAAGAGAGAAGAAATACTGCCATTGGCCACTGGGCAGTAGTCGTTTCCAGATGGAAGATGCCTCGGGACAGTCGCGTAGTGCATGAATCGTCGACTCACACTCCGTCGAGCAAATGGAGCAAGTCGGGCTTACCGCGAGATGTCGGCGGTACCGTAATGCGTTAGTTAGCAAAGAGTCGCTGGCCACGAGCCATAAAAAGTGTCGAACTCTCTGCGAGCCCACCCACTTCTATAGTATTTTCCACAATCGATCCCGGCGTCTCTCGGTGGGCCGAACTAACGCCAAATATGAAAATTTGGTGGCAAATTTTCCATCCGCAGACCGACCCCAAAACACCCGGTCCTCCTCTCCATGTGAACTCGACGGTAGGACGGCAGATATCCGGAGAAAACATGTGGCCGACAATAAACCCTGAAACATTGACCAATTCCACCCTCCACCCGGCTGAATGAAGTCCGATACCTTCAGGGAGAGCATCGCTTCCGCCACCGGTGCTATCACGAGCTTGATCAGTGGAGTGTCAAAATTTAACCACCTGTCCCACCAAAAAAGAACTGTCTGACCATTACCCACTGACCATCGACTACCCGCAAGCGTCTCTCTCCAAACATCTCTAATTGCTCGTATCACCGTCGAGCCTTGGAGGAACTCGTAGTCTTCACCCATCTCAGAAGGGAGTAACTTATATTTGGCTCGAAGAAACTCCAATATTGGCAATAAAAACCACAAGCTTTCAACTTTTGCAAATAGAAGCAAATGGTTTGAAAGACCTGCAAATACTCGGGAGGTGCTCCTGTTTGGATAATTTCAACATTCCAATATTGGCAATAAAAACCACATTCCAATATCAGAGACTTACAATGTTTGGTTAATTATATAATATAGAGAAAGAAAACACAACGCGGCAAAATTTGAAAAGATAAAAAGGAAAATAAATAAAAAAAATTAGGTCACTTAAGAGACTCAATTTTTAATATTTGGGAGGAAATTGAATAATTTTAAATTTTCCCAACTCATGTATGTACTTTACAAAAATTCTATGGATATTTCGGATGGTTTTCTTATGGAGTCATCCACTACTTAGTGCCAATACACTATTGGGGAATAAGTGTTGATGATTTCATAAGCCAACCATTCGATGGCTCCATAGCAAAAATGGTGCACTTTAATCAAGAGCGAGTTTCAATATTTGACTGTCACACCCGACAAGAGAATTTGGGCCGACTATAGCAAAAGGCAATGAAGTTCCAAAGTTTTAGGTTTGTAAAATAACAACATCTAACCCAACATCTAAGGAAGTATATTCAATTGAGTTTTCTGAAGACTTTTTAAGACTTAAATATTATGGTGTATTTAGTTTAGAATTCTCAAGAAAACAATATATACGAAATCTCACTCGAGATCTCACCTTTAAATTTAAAACTTCGCGCTTAAAATACGAAAATCTTAATCAATCTCAAATATAAAAAGTTCACTCGCAATTCTATTTCTTACAACAATAACAAGAACAACAACAATATAGCCTTTTAGTCCCAAGCAAGTTGGGGTAGACTAGAGATGAAACCCAAAAGAAACAATGGTATTTTTTTTAAAAAAAAAAACATTAAGCATTATAGTGCGCTTTGATTTGAAACTTACCTAAAAGAAAGGTGCTCTAATAATATTAAGACAACGTTTGTATACAAAATTCTCACTCAAAATTTCATTTTACTCCAAATCTTTTTTTTTTTTTTTTTTT